TTCCTATTTCTGTGAAATATTTATATAAATTATTACATGGATACTTTCATAAGTCTTACAGATTTATATATCCTAACAGATAATCCTTAGCACAAATGTATATCGTTCTTTTTTTTAATAATAACGCATAAAATACAATGAATGCTAAATGCACTCATGTTTACATTTATACACAATTTATATGATTTTTCTTATTCAATATGTTCATGAAAAAAAATTCATTTCCTCTTTTAAAGAACTATTTTCTTCATATACATAATTCTCAAAAGACATACATTAATTTTAACCTTTTAGAAACACCAAACGATGGTGGCGGAGATGGTAATGATACTAGTCCTATGAATGGAGAATCAGAATTAGCTTGTATAGTTCAAGATCAAGAAATGGGAGAAGGTAATATATGAATAATAAAATATTCATTTTGTTAAAATTATAGCTTTATAAGATTTTGTATATTGTTTAATTATTTTTTATCAGAAAAGAAATTATTTTTATTAATTTGATTTCAATATGTATTAAAATACAGTACTTAGTTTTTATTTTGGTAAATGATAGTTTTCATAGTGATACTGTATTATATAAAAAATGTTCTTAATTTGTAAAACATAATGATCAGCAAGATAAAAATTAAGATAAAAATTAAAAAAAAATAGAGTTAATTGACGTAAGTGTTAATAAATTTTTGTATAACTATTAATAAATATTATTACTTAAGAGCTATATAATACATGTGATCGTATAAAACTGTATGCACTTTAATTGTATAAAGTTCATTGATGTTTTTGTTGATTACTATAATCATATTTAGTTCAATTTTAAATTCAATAAAACTGTAAGCAACTCAGTTATTTGTTACACGTATATAAATTTAAATAAATACTACTAGTGAACATATTGAATATTCTATTTCATGAAATTTTATCATAGAATTTAGAATAAAATATGAAAATGTTATTGTTGACCTATCTGTTACTTTCACTTTTGGTATAATATAAAATATATTCCAATAGTCTGGAACAGGTAAAAATGTACACATTTTTCATGTTATTACAAATTTAAAAGTTATTTATAAAATATGAGAATTTAACAATTAGTAGTTTTTCAGAATGGTTAAACATCAATTAATACATATACAATGCAATATAATATAATACAATACAATACAATATAATACAATACAATACAATACAATACAGTACAATACAGTACAATACAGTACAATACAGTACAATACAATACAGTACAGTACAATACAGTACAGTACAGTACAGTACAGTACAGTACAGTACAGTACAGCACAGCACAGTACAGCACAGCACAGCACAGTACAGTACAGTACAGTACAGTACAGTGCAGTGCAGTGCAGTGCAGTGCAGTACAGTACAGTACAGTACAGTACAGTACAGTAGAATACAGTACAGTACAGTACAGTACAGTACAGTACAACATATTGTACTAGTTAAAGATTAGAAATTTACAAGAAATGTATATAACTGCATATTTTTTATTCTGAAAGAATAAACACAGAAAGTGAAATTTGATTCTATTTCTTCTATAGATTTGAACAAGTTTATATTAAGATCAATTTTATTATGCATTTCTGCATATGATATATTTTTTATATATGATTCAAAGTATCCATAAATTTGTTTTGGAAAATGTTTTTTATAAAATGTTATCTTCTTTGTTACAATGGAAAACATTTAATTTCCTAACAGCTGTATTAAAGTTACATTTTTGAAAATGCACATACATATATTTCTATGTATAAGTACATGTTAAGAACTGAAAATATAAAGTTGGATATAAAAAAATGAAATTAATTTTAACTGTTTTTATTTATAAAATTAAAAAGATCATTTTTAATCACCCTTAAAATATTTTCAACTTGATTGATTCGACACTTAATTGTAACGAATAATGTCATTACCAAAAGTAATAATTTATCTAACTGGAGATTGATTCTTTTGGTTTTTATCTGCTGTATTAACAAAAACTAGGTATTTTTAAATATTGAGCTGAAGAAGATTTGAATAAATCTTAATTCCCTATATACAATATT